AAACAGCTAATACTTAGTAGTTTGGTACAATTATGCGAAAATGTGTGATAAATAACGAACAACTAATTACACAAAATAACAAGACAATATAATAAATCACATTCAATACCTCCAAGAAGCGCAGAATTGATTGATTACTTAGAACAAAATAAAGTATTTCATATGGATAATCTATCTATTCGATGTGGCGTGGTCGGCAGGCACAAAGAAAGTGAGACAAGTCAGGGTCCCAACCCTGACAGAGCCACAACGCTTTGGAGATGGGACAATAAAACAAGGAAAGTGAGACAAGAATAGCTAGCGTCGAGTCAATGATTCCGTAAACGTATAGACAAAGACAAGAAGATACGGATAAATGTACAAGGCCACACGATCAGAAAATTCAGAAGAGGACAACTTGAGATAGAACAGTATTCATGTATCAGGGTGTCCTCAGTGTAAATCTTTATATCGATACTGTTTATTTAGTCGTTACACATCATAAAACTGTCATGAAAATATCCGCTCTGATATTCAATATAAAAGTTTGTATATAATAAGCTATATAATAGGGTTTCAGACAAGGTTGTTACTCATTTCCCCTTTTCTTTCAATTTACAACCACATTCAGGCGGCGATATGAGAACGTTCCACCACATGGAATTAGCTGATTTTTGGTACACATATGAAACAAGTAAAGCTCTATCCGATTTTCTGATGGAAATTTGCATCCAAAACTATATAACGGGAGAAAATTGCAATTTTATGGCATTTTTCTTCATAATTGTGTCTCTGCAAGTGCATTTTCATCCGAGAATTTTTTTTTTTTTTTTTTATGAATAAACACGATGTTTTGGAAATATTTATCAAAAGAAATTTATACTATGTTGCGAATTACAATTTCGAGATAACCTTCTTTTATTTACGAACTTATGTCTTTGATGCTGAAATTGACAACTTTATAAAAATACATTTTCACTGAAATTATGAAATCTGGGTGTCGGAAAGGTGTAAAATTATTCTTCGGAAAAGAAAAAAACAGTAGTTGAGCTAGATAAGAAATTATACGGGGGCAGGCTCCTATGGAGAATTAACATTACTGGAAACAGGCCCCTTCACACGAGCTAGGGAGAATTTCAGTCAACCCGAGGTTACGGGTTCGACCCCTAACCGTATTCACGCTGAATAGTGAGTGCGAGGCACGTAAAGGATGAACTAGTCAAGCAGGAATTGTCAATGAACAGATTGTTACACTACCGACACCCTACGTACAATGTACCATACCATCAGCTACACAGTGTACAAAGCCTTCGGTATTGAAATGTTGTCAGTGGCAGATATCTGTTACGGTTGAGAATAAAGCGCTTTAATGTATTGACATTATCTTGATTACGAGGACAATTATTACAATTAAACCTGTCTAGTGTTACATCTTACGAAACCGTGTAGCTAAGAAAAACAAAGCTCGTATACACACACAGGTCTACTTTACAGATAACTTATTTGGAAATTAACCAGTACCCCTCTACATGTTTAAATTCATAATCAAGCTATTTGTACGCACCTGTCCCTCTATTTTACCAATGGTTTTGACAGTTTGGATTGAAGCTTTTTTTGCCACTAGCATCACCGATGACTCTTAGACGGACATTTGCATGATTCTGTGTAATTCAATTTTGGCATACCGTATCTATTACCAAATTTTAAAGATGTGATCACCTGTATATGTGCTACGTTCATCTGATTAGTAGCGCCCCTTCATGGGCAGGTAAACATTCCAAACATGTTGATTAATAACTAGCTGGACAATAGTCGTCAGTCACCCGCAGCCAACGGCAGACTACAAAGATAGGGAAATACGCAACCGGAATGTAGACCAAAACGAATAGAAGATCCTCGTATCATTTCCAAAAACTGTAGTTACACACGAGAAACTTATGATTACAGCGTTAATAACTAAATCATTTCCGAAAATGAAAAAGAGGAAATTAACGAAATATGATCAACAACAGTGTTCTAAGTGTAAAAAGAGCTGGAGTGGGATTCGAACCGTGGACTTCAGAATGTTAAACTATCGCTCTGACCGACTGAGCTACCTGTTAAACGGAGGCATCCAGGCCGTCCAAAACAAAATTAAGGGGAGGTAGCTGTATAGGTAAATCCACAGTATAATTGGACAATGATCCTTAAAGCCGTAAAGAGACAGAAGATGGAAAAGAAAGAGAACAGGGCAGATAAGAAAAGAAAGACAGCAAGGCAGATAGGAAAAGAAAGAGAGCAGGGCAGATAGGAAAAGAAAGATAGCAGGGCAGATAGGAAAAGAAAGATATACCCAGTTTTGCATTGGGGGACAATTGCTGGGAGCCACATTGGTCGCCCTTTACGATACACAATGTACAATTTGCCTCAATGCCCTATAACAGAAGTTAAAAAACGAAAAATCCCCCGATTCTGCAGGGAGAGGGTCAGATCACACGCCATTATTTACAACAATGCAGTTGGATACAGCAGGCAAAACATTTCCTCGAACATGCATGTGTCCATTTTTGATTTCTTGAATTGGACACCTGATGATGCCCCAGAACCAAAGAAAAATGTGAATCAAACTTTTGTCCAGCTGATGATTCGGAATACAAACAGGAATTTGCAAATTCAAAAGAAAGCAGTCACACAGGGAAAATACCAACTAGACTAAACGAAGAGGGGACAAATGGGCAAAAAACACAGGAGATGTCCCATACCTTTATACTTTGGCCGCAACGCATTTGCATCATTATTCATGCTGTTTTGTGGTTAGGTGTCGGCGGCAGGGTCAAAGTTAATACTCTGGACACAGCGTTTACAAGTCGACAACCAGATTATTGAGATACAAAGGACAGAATGGTGGGATTACTTTTACTTATAGAATATTACATAATACCTGTATGTTTTGTAACAACTTTATTGAAATTGTAAACTGTTTAGTCAGCAAGGGTTTGACAAAATAAGCTGAGAAATGACGTGTTGGTTTCTTATGAAGGTTCAACACAAATGTGTCATTTTATTCAGAGGTGAAAGGTCAATATGGGTATGATTTCTAGAAATAAGGTGGAAAAGCAAAAACATTTTCTAAACGCCCGATAAAGGGAATGTTTTGGACTTTCAAAAAAAAACCACATTCATCACTGTTGTCAAGCCTATTAACGACTATTGTGAAAAGGTTCTGCGACAGGTCCAATCACCACAGGAACGGGGCTTGTGCAAAATCATTTTTATAAATGGTGAAGATGAGAAATTGATAATGGAGCAAACTAGACACAGAAGTACTCCAGGCTGGGTACACAAACGTATTGCGAGAAAGCAGAACAAAAGACATTAAAGGAGTATTTGAACCCCACACCTAACTAAACATAAGTAGCGCTCTCCGAGGACAGTAAGTGTGTTTTGGCACTATTCTTTACCAATAATGGCAATATTAATGCAGCTTTAGAAAAAAACGACATAACACGACAAGAAAAATAAAAATAACAAATGCAAGCTGATTAAGTTTTTTTTATTTTATACAATTTAAAAATTAACAAAAGCCATGAACAGAAAATAATTTCCGTTTGCTGAATAAGTTTGATGTTTAACCATGTATTAACTTGGCTTCAGAGACATCGTAGAGAAAAGAAATTCAAGTTAAATATTTTCCTGCTTTAAATGTCGTGGATTATAGTAAGAGTGTTATTTAATGATGCTCCACTAGGAGGCTTCATCCTTTAACAATTTAGAGTCTGTTGCAACCTACGCATGCAACTTTCACATAAGCATTGTTTATTTACCTTTCAGAATATTTATTACAAACTCTATAAAACAAATGACAAAATGAATTTTTCGCTGAAATTCTATAATTTAATGTAATTATCTAAGAGAAAAACAGCCACATTCTTTGTGAGTGGAAAGAGTGCCAAAAACGAGAAACAAATACTTATTATTATCTAATTTACTGCCATTATAAACAGTTCATTATTTGGATATTGAGGAAAGTTGTCTTCCTTAAAAACATGGGAATTTTCCGGAGAGGGATAACATTTTCATAAAGTGATTTGTTTTCCGTCAATTATATAACCATACTTAACTAACGTTACGTGTATTACAATTATCCAATCAATGTATTATACGTCTAAAGTGAAACTGTATTATATAAGTACTCTGTATGCCTACAGGGTCCATCAAGCAGATATTCCTAAAAACCACAGTTGATGTTTATTTCCGATAATGTCATATATTAAAACATATTTGTTATACACAAATTTATATTAAAACAATAAAAATATCAACATTTCAAACAATCTATTGTTCTTTATTATTATTAAATCAATTAATATCAATCTTGTATGCAAGGGTCACCGTGAGTACCACTGCCTGCTTAAGTTAGGTATTAATAATATCATCTGTTACATGTCAAGTACATGTACATACAGCAAAAGATGATCGCATCGTATGTCGTTCTCGATTCTCGAATGTGCTATCACCAATTTACAAATCAAAATGGCTTCACAAAACGTTAACCTTTTCATAATAACAATAATTTATCCGATAAAACGAATCGGATCAGATACTGGATCGGACAGTTGTATACATATATTTAATGTATATGGAAGGCCGGTATCCAAAACACACACCTGCCCGCATTGACTTCCTACAGAACCTTTTCAGACTCATCGGTGTCTTTGTATGAGTTGCTTTATCACCTCAGTACGTGTGATCACAGTTTTTATCACCTCAGTACGTGTGATCACAGTTCTTGATCACCCCAGTACGTGTGATCACAGTTCTTTATCACTTCAGTACGTGTGATCACAGTTCTTTATCACCCCGGTACGTGTGATCACAGTTCTTTATCACTTCAGTACGTGTGATCACAGTTCTTTATCACTTAAGTACGTGTGATCACAGTTCTTTATCACTTCAGTACGTGTGATAAAGAACTGTGATCACACGTACTGAGGGGATAAAGAACTGTGAGCACACGTACTGAGGTGATAAAGAACTGTGATCACAGTTCTTTATCACCTCAGTACGTGTGATCACAGTTCTTTATCACCTCAGTACGTGTGCTTACAGTTCTTTATCTCTTCAGTACGTGTGATCACAGTTCGTTATCACTTCAGTACGTGTGCTCACAGTTCTTTATCACCTCAGTACGTGTGTTCACAGTTCTTTATCACCTCAGTACGTGTGATCACGGTTCTTTATTACCTCAGTACGCGTGATCACAGTTCGATATCACCTCAGTACGTGTGATCACAGTTCTGTATCACCTCAGTACGTGTGATCACAGTTCGAAGCATCTTCCCTAGGTTCATCACATACAAATTACCGAGTAACGTTTCCATATCGGATTGTTGACATATTATCTTCGCGAACATGTCGATGTTGAATGTAATCTATGCTACAACGTTGGAATGGCTCATACACAATACGTAAATGACGACACGAAAATATAAGAAGTGATATGTTAAACGTAGGTCGAGGCTCCATTAGACAATCAGTTTCATTAAAACGGTTAAACGGTAAACACACAACATACACAGGTAATGACTTCAGGTGATGTAGTTAAAACTGCGTAATTAATTGTTCTCTAATGTACAATGTATATAGAAACACAAGATTAACGACTGACTTCAAAACTAGCAGCTTTCACCCGTAACAGGGTTTTCAGGTTTATTTCAGATGAAATGAACTAATACAAATTGAAACTTGTTTTAATGTTATTTATGCAGCCAGACTTTCTATGCTTTTACATAACTACTTTTACTTGCGGAATGAGGTATGTTGGGGTATGAGTGATGTCGTCCGACCGGTTACATGCGCGCATTGATACGTTGCTAAAATTAGATCACCATATTTCAAAAGATGATAAAAGAAGACGGCGGAACAAGGTTCGTACGGTCAAGGTCAATTATATTTCAACTTGAAAAGTTGTGTATTGTTTTATATGAACACAGATTGTAGTATATAAAGGATACATTTTGCCCCCCACCATCCCCTACTTTCCTCCTTTCTTGTTAGAACTTTCTGAATGTGCATAACTTTATGTATTGGTGTACAACATTTTGTATGCGACTGTTAAGTAATGCATCGATATTATATCGTATATTTTGTGTGTAAAAATAATGTTTTCTAACTAGCGTTAATATTTCATCAAGTATATTGTGTATGGCGGAATAAGACCCCAAAGTAAACCTTTTTGGGTCTATTTCTATGACAAAATGTGAATGTCATAACAACCGTCGTTTATTGTAATAAACGGCCATATTCAATTCAGATTGTGTGTCCTTGTTTTTTATATCATTATGTTTGTCCTACCATAAATGAAATTAACCTGAAGAACCATGTTAAGGCTGAAAGCTGCTAGTTTTGAAGTAGGCCGTTAACATTTTATATACTTTATAAACAAAGTCTGAAGCACAATAAGAGTACAGGTTTAAATTAGTCAGCTCATTACGCATTTAGTATCTTTACACCATTTTTACAGTATAAATGTTTATAATTATTTTATCAGTTGTACTTTGGTTTATGAATAAAAATAACATTCGGTACGGAAATTACATTTGTCAACTATATGATGTCAGGTTTATAACGTATACAATCCCGTATAGCGATAAATAGTTTTAAATGCCCATGTGACGGTAAAAATATAAATAAAGCAAAACACCAAGTCTAGTATAATCGGCTAGCGCTTTCGCCCATCTTTGGAATCTTCAGGCGAATTAATTTTATTTGTGACGCCATAAATGGAGTACACATACTTTAGACGTCAAAAATAACGACGTCATAAATGGAGTACACATAATACGGACGTCTAGAATTTGTGACGTCTTTAAAAGATTACATGAATGTACTTGCATTAAAAGCATCAATGAAATATATGGAAAAAGAAACGGAGCATATTACAAATGCTCAAATGAATACATTGTTCTATAGTAAAAGTTAAAAACATCTGATAGTAAAAATTAATTTCAAAGCACAATACTTAGTTCATCCGAACATATTAAACATACGGAATTTGTAAATTTAAAATTCATAAGAGGTGCTCGAAATTTCCCGCGTTCAAGCCCGGTTTTAGAATTTCAATAAACATGTTCTCTTTTAACTCTCTTGCAATAGTATCTGATGTGTTCATTTGATAAATTGGTAAAACTAAAAACTGATCATTTGAACACTGATGAAAATGTTTGTTAACTAAATAAATTTCGTAAACTATCAGTTTTGGTTTGTTGACAATGGACTGCTATTTTTTGACGTAGTTTATTTCCAGTTTGACCTATGTAAAAATCAGAGCATCTCTTACAAATTACAGCATATATTACATTTCTTGATTTACAATTCGTATTACATCTCATTTCAAATGTTTTGCCATTCTTAAAAACAAACGAGTTACACTCAACAATCTTACTACATGTTCCACATCTCGGTTTCATACACTTTGTCACGCTGTAATTAACATTTATTGTCTCATCAAATTTTGACTTGGACAATAAACGTTTCAGATTCCTTGGTTGTCTTTTGCAGTTAATTATTTTCGTCTTCTCCAAGACACGTTTCATTTTTTTGCTATTCTTTAAAACTTCTTCGTGAACTTTCATAATTGGAAACATGTTAAAATTGTTAGGGTTGAATGTTGTGACAAACGGTATAATATCCTTTTGACTTGTATTGGCACTATTTGGGTCGTTAACTGAAATCGGACCCTTCTCCTTAGCTCTTTGAATACCGTTGAATACAATTTCGTCTGGAGAGCATTGTAATCCCATACATATATAGCAGTATTTTACAAAAAAACAGTCCGATTCCTGTTTGTTATTTAAAATTATCACTGCCGATATACTTCTTCATTACAAAGGTAAGAAAATTAGAAATAAATATAAACATGAAAAAATAAGTACACACAATGCTATTATACTCGTATACTACTGGAAGTTATTGACTGCGACTGTTATACATATGTACAACACTACGACAGACAGTCGGTGACCAGTTGTGACGGTTTTAGAGAATCTTAATGTCGTCGATACACTCGGAAAACCTCAGACGTTTAGGTTGTGTCGTACGAATGCTATCCCAGGTCACCTCGCATAGAGTCGTTAAACCGTTTTCCATCCTTAAAAATAGAATCTTCTGGAGTGACGTTGGGCAGTCTGTATGGACAGACATTTGTTTGATAATAGTTTTCTCTCCATAATGTGCAAATAGTTCAACTTGTCACTTTTCAGATTGTTTACTGTCAGAGGGATCACTTCACTAAATTTAGATTTTGTAAAAAAAACTATCGTTATTGACACAGGAATTATATGTATATATTAACAAAACGTCCATGTATCCAAAGACGGCGGTATTATCGTTGCATAGCTAATCACAAATAAGGTAGAACTGTGACCGAGGTTTAGAAGGATTTCGTTATTAGATCTTGTCTTTTGGTTCTCTCTTGTTTGAGTGGTGTTACGTCCGCTTTTCTAACGAGTATTTTGGATATCCAGCAGCTGAATCACTTTGTTTTTCCTCGTTAAGCGAAAGTAGCTATGTAATAAAATAAATGTGTAAGCATCGGGACATCTGTTGGTGGAACAGGTTCATTGACTGATATATAGCGGTGTCGTCAGCGTAAATAAAAAAACGATATTATCGTGCTATCGGAACTATATTGTTAAGATAAAAATGCGCTTGCTAGATTAAACACTCTTTTTTACCTTGAATTACTGAATGGTGTTGCGTTTTAAACAAATCCCGTTTAAGGTTTTTAAGAACGTACTCTTAACGCTTATCGCATAGAGTATAAACAAAAATTCCCTAGCATCCGTATACGTAGCTCTGCGCGTATCAACGAAATATACAATTGCCGGCAATTATTTGAAGTCATGTTGTTTGTGACACTGTACATGGAATAAATGTGGTTTAAAGCACTTTCTTTACTCCTGTTCCTGTCAGGTTATTGTGTAAGTCTGACCGTTTTGTTCACCGCTGATTACATTGTAAGAAAATCTGTGTATATTTCACTCATTGTAGACTTACGTGAGATGGCACCGTAGAGGAGTGGGCCAGCTGAACAGTTCGTATCTGACCCAGGGATTGTTGTAGTATTAATCCTATTTATCAGTCTTGTGAATGACCTCTTTTTCTGACACTATTTGTAAATGTCTGAAGAATGAATCAACCTTTCAATCTATTGGCAATTTTTAATATATCAAAAACAAACGCCACAGTACACTTCGAAGGATAAATATCCTTGGACGCAGTAACGTAATTAATTTTATGGACGGTGATATTCAAACACAAGAGAGCAATTACGTGATTTTCAGAGACAGTTGTATTCCTAGCAGAGAGCATAGATTATACGTTTTCAGTGACAAGTTTATTTCGTCACATATTCCATGTGAGATACTTATTCCTTTGTGACCTTATGTATGAGGTCCCGACGTCCAATCGCCTCCAAAGCACCCTTCAGCTGACTCACCATGTCATTTTTAGCCAGCAATAGATGCCATCTCTTTATCACATTCATGGCCAGATCCACCTCATCCATAGTGTCTTCCTCCACCTTTTGCATCTGGCTGCCATTAAGTCCGAGCTGAAAACCAAGTTGTTTACTCTCATCGGCTGAGAGATGACTTACAGCGTCCTTGAGTCTGTCCCAAGTTACCTTCTTTGGGAGTGGAGCACTGGTAGTCTGACGTGTTGCAATAACTGAAACGATAATACAGCTCTATTAATACCCTGTCAATACCATCACTACTCTCCTTCACAACAATCATATACCATACAATCAGCTTTATACCATTCTCAACATCTCTATCAGTACTGGGACAACGCAACCTGTTAAGGTTATAAACCCCGAGTCAATGCTTCCGAAACGACCATTTTAATACTAGTTCCAATGCTTCCAAAACGGTCGTTTTAATACTATTCTAAGCTGTTCCTTAAAACACAATTACAACCTATAACTTCAGTACTTCATGGCAAGATGAACAGAAAGGTAGTTACCGTTTTGAGCAACTTCGGCAGGTTCTGGTTCGGGTTCTGAAAAGAAAGTGCAAGTAGATGTAATGAGGAAAAACTCTTTCTTAAAGTTATAACTTTAGAGACATATCTCTCTGGCGATTATATATCAATGTACCAACAAGTAGGGATTGGCTGCTTCGATATCTCCGATCTCTCCCTGTCAATATACTATTGTACCATCATCTCAAGATTGTTAGAAAGGTGGGGGTCAACGTTAGAAAGGTGAGGGTCAACGTTAGAAAGGTGGGGTCAACATTCGGATCCCGCTTCAATTTCTTTTATTTGAAACACATTTATGTTAACTAAACTTGCTTATTAAGTGCGGTAGTACACATATTAAGTTCAGCCTCACCTAACTTAGTTTGCTAGTGAGGCATTAAATGTGACTTCACCTCCTTAGCCAAGGTCGCTATTTATTCGTTTGATCAGCGTTGTAATAAAAGATATTATTTTAAGTTTTGGCCTTGCCTCGTTTAGTCAATGTTAATAGACGCTATTAAATCCACCTGATCTCGTTTGATTAGTTTGGTAATGAAAGAAACTATTTTAACCTAACCTTAATAAGTCAAAATGGAAATGGTATTAATTTTATCTCACCTCGTTGCGTCAGTTTAGGTAGTTTAGACGATCATGAAGTTTGGGAGGGCACATTTTTAGAATTTGAGATTTACTCACTAATGGATGAAAAAGTGGGGAACCTTAAATACAATACGAAATAAACAGAAATGTGACTCTAAACTATAAATAAAATCCATTAAACACTATGGCAGGAGACAATCGAAATGCCCTTAGTAATTATCATAGCAATAAAACTCCTCATTTCTGACTTGCTATTATTCGTCCTTCTTGCCTTTTAAGCCAAGAAAAAAGGATTAAATTCAAGTCAAGGTTTCGTTAGTGGGGTTGAAAAACGTACTTATTTGACTTCACGTCGTTTAGTCAGTGTCGTAGTAAACGGTATTTAGTCAGGTGTTACTGTAAACAGCTTTATTTGGAACTCACATCGATAGTCAGTGTAGTAATGACGTATGTAACTATTAGAATACGTCTCGTTTTCTATGATGCGGATAATTAACGGTATCTATTTAATTACAACTCTTTCGTCAGTACAGTACTGACTGGTATTAAGTGGAACTCAACTATTTCGTCAGTACAGAAGTAACTGGTATTAAGTCAAAATCAACTATTTAGTCAGTACAGTAGTCGCTGGTATTAAGTTGAACTCAACTCTTTAGTCAGTACAGTAGTGATTGGTATTAAGTTGAACTCAACTCTTTAGTCAGTACAGTAGTGACTGGTATTAAGTGGAACTCAACTCTTTAGTCAGTACAGTAGTGACTGGTATTAAGTGGAACTCAACTCTTTAGTCAGTACAGTAGTGACTGGTATTAAGTGGAACTCAACTCTTTAGTCAGTACAGTAGTGACTGGTATTAAGTGGAACTCAACTCTTTAGTCAGTACAGTAGTGACTGGTATTAAGTGGAACTCAACTCTTTAGTCAGTACAGTAGTGACTGGTATTAAGTGGAACTCAACTCTTTAGTCAGTACAGTAGTGACTGGTATTAAGTGGAACTCAACTCTTTAGTCAGTACAGTAGTGACTGGTATTAAGTGGAACTCAACTCTTTAGTCAGTACAGTAGTGACTGGTATTAAGTGGAACTCAACTCTTTAGTCAGTACAGTAGTGACTGGTATTAAGTGGAACTCAACTCTTTAGTCAGTACAGTAGTGACTGGTATTAAGTGGAACTCAACTCTTTAGTCAGTACAGTAGTGACTGGTATTAAGTGGAACTCAACTCTTTAGTCAGTACAGTAGTGACTGGTATTAAGTGGAACTCAACTCTTTAGTCAGTACAGTAGTGACTGGTATTAAGTGGAACTCAACTCTTTAGTCAGTACAGTAGTGACTGGTATTAAGTGGAACTCAACTCTTTAGTCAGTACAGTAGTGACTGGTATTAAGTGGAACTCAACTCTTTAGTCAGTACAGTAGTGACTGGTATTAAGTGGAACTCAACTCTTTAGTCAGTACAGTAGTGACTGGTATTAAGTGGAACTCAACTCTTTAGTCAGTACAGTAGTGACTGGTATTAAGTGGAACTCAACTCTTTAGTCAGTACAGTAGTGACTGGTATTAAGTGGAACTCAACTCTTTAGTCAGTACAGTAGTGACTGGTATTAAGTGGAACTCAACTCTTTAGTCAGTACAGTAGTGACTGGTATTAAGTGGAACTCAACTCTTTAGTCAGTACAGTAGTGACTGGTATTAAGTGGAACTCAACTCTTTAGTCAGTACAGTAGTGACTGGTATTAAGTGGAACTCAACTCTTTAGTCAGTACAGTAGTGACTGGTATTAAGTGGAACTCAACTCTTTAGTCAGTACAGTAGTGACTGGTATTAAGTGGAACTCAACTCTTTAGTCAGTACAGTAGTGACTGGTATTAAGTGGAACTCAACTCTTTAGTCAGTACAGTAGTGACTGGTATTAAGTGGAACTCAACTCTTTAGTCAGTACAGTAGTGACTGGTATTAAGTGGAACTCAACTCTTTAGTCAGTACAGTAGTGACTGGTATTAAGTGGAACTCAACTCTTTAGTCAGTACAGTAGTGACTGGTATTAAGTGGAACTCAACTCTTTAGTCAGTATAGTAGTGACTGGTATTAAGTGGAACTCAACTCTTTAGTCAGAACAGTAGTGACTGGTGTTAAGTGGAACTCAACTCTTTAGTCAGTACAGTTGTGACTGGTATTAAGATGAACTCAACTCTTTAGTCAGTACAGTAGTGACTGGTATTAAGATGAACTCAACTCTTTAGTCAGTACAGTAGTGACTGGTATTTAGTGGAACTCAACTCTTTAGTCAGTATAGTAATGACTGGTATTGAGATGAACTCAACTCTTTAGTCAGTATAGTAGTGACTGGTATTAAGATGAACTCAACTCTTTAGTCAGTACAGTAGTGATTGGTATTAGGTGGAACTCAACTCTTTAATCAGTACAGTAGTGACTGGTATTAAGTTGAACTCAACTCTTCAGTCAGTACAGTAGCAACTGGTATTAAGTGGAACTCAACTCTTTAGTCAGTACAGTAGTAACTGGTATTAAGTGGAACTCAACTCTTTAGTCAGTACAGTAGGGACTGGTTTTAAGTTGAACTCAACTCTTTAGTCAGTACAGTAGTAACTCAACTCTTTAGTCAGTACAGTAGTGACTGATATTAAGATGAACTCAACTCTTTAGTCAGTACAGTAGTGAGTGGTATTAAGTGGAACTCAACTCTTTAGTCAGTACAGTAGGGACTGGTTTTAAGTTGAACTCAACTCTTTAGTCAGTACAGTAGTAACTGGTATTAAGTGGAACTCAACTCTTTAGTCAGTACAGTAGTCACTGGTATTAGGTGGAACTCAACTCTTTAGTCAGTACAGTAGTGACTGGTTTTAAGTAGAACTCAACTCTTTAGTCAGTACAGTAGTGATTGGTATTAAGTGGAACTCAACTCTTTAATTAGTACAGTAGTGACTGGTATTAAGTGGAACTCAACTCTTTAGTCAGTACAGTAGTCACTGGTATTAGGTGGAACTCAACTCTTTAGTCAGTACAGTAGTAACTGGTATTAAGTGGAACTCAACTCTTTAGTCAGTATAGTAGTGATTGGTATTAAGTGGAACTCAACTCTTTAATCAGTACTGTAGTAACTGGTATTAGGTGGAACTCAACTCTTTACTCAGTACAGTAGTAACTGGTATTAAGTGGAACTCAACTCTTTCGTCAGTACAGTAGTGATTTGTATTAAGTGGAATTCAACTCTTTAATCAGTACAGTAGTGATTGGTATTAAGTGGAACTCAACTCTTTCGTCAGTACAGTAGTGATTGGTATTGAGTGGAATTCAACTCTTTAATCTGTATAGTAGTGATTGGTATTAAGTGGAACTCAACTCTTTAGTCAGTACAGTAGTAACTGGTATTAGGTGGAATTCAACTCTTTAGTCAGTACAGTAGTAACTGGTATTAAGTGGAACTCAACTCTTTCGTCAGTACAGTAGTGATTGGTATTAAGTGGAATTCAACTCTTTAATCAGTATAGTAGTGATTGGTATTAAGTGGAACTCAACTCTTTAATCAGTACATTAGTGACTGGTATTAAGTTGAACTCAACTCTTTCGTCAGTACAGTAGTGATTGGTATTAGGTGGAACTCAACTCTTTAGTCAGTATAGTAGTGATTGGTATTAAGTGGAACTCAACTTTTTCGTCAGTACAGTAGTAACTGGTATTAGGTGGAACTCAACTCTTTAGTCAGTACAGTAGTAACTGGTATAAAGTGGAACTCAACTCTTTCGTCAGTACAGTAGTGATTGGTATTAAGTGGAATTCAACTCTTTAATCAGTATAGTAGTGATTGGTATTAAGTGGAACTCAACTCTTTAATCAGTACATTAGTGATTGGTATTAGGTGGAACTCAACTCTTTAGTCAGTATAGTAGTGATTGGTATTGAGTGGAACTCAACTATTTAGTCAGTACAGTAGTGACTGGTATTAAGTGGAACTAAACTCTTTAGTCAGTACAGTAGTGACTGGTATTAAGTTGAACTCAACTGTTTAGACAGTATAGTAGTGATTGGTATTAAGTGGAACTAAACTCTTTAGTCAGTATAGTAGTGATTGGTATTAAGTGGAACTCAACTCTTTAGTCAGTACAGTAGTCACTGGTATTGAGTTGAAATCAACTCTTTAGTCAGTACAGTAGTGACTGGTATTAAGTGGAACTCAACTCTTTACTCAGTACAGTAGTCACTGGTATTAGGTGGAACTCAACTCTTTAGTCAGTACAGTAGTAACTGGTATTAAGTGGAACTCAACTCTTTAGTCAGTACAGTAGTGACTGGTATTAAGTGGAACTCAACTCTTTAGTCAGTACAGTAGTGACTGGTATTAAGTGGAACTCAACTGGTAAGTCAGTACAGTAATGATTGGTATTAGGTGGAACTCAACTCTTTAGTCAGTACAGTAGTAACTGGTATTAAGTTGAACTCAACTCTTTAGTCAGTAAGTAGTGACTGGTATTAAGTGGAACTCAACTCTTAAGTCAGTACAGTAATGATTGGTATTAGGTGGAACTCAACTCTTTAGTCAGTACAGTAGTAACTGGTATTAAGTTGAACTCAACTGTTTAGTCAGTACAGTAGTAACTGGTATTAAGTTGAACTCAACTCTTTAATCAGTACAGTAGTGACTGGTATTAGGTGGAACTCAACTCTTTAGTCAGTACAGTAGTGATTGGTATTGAGTGGAACTAAACTATTTAGTCAGTACAGTAGTGACTGGTATTAGGTGGAACTCAACTCTTTAGTCAGTACAGTAGTGACTGGTATTAGGTGGAACTCAACTCTTTAGTCAGTACAGTAGTGATTGGCATTGAGTGGAACTAAACTCTTTAGTCAGTACAGTAGTAACTGGTATTAAGTGGTATTCAACTCTTTAGTCAGTATAGAAGTGATTGGTATTAGGTGGAACTCAACTCTTTAGTCAGTATAGAAGTGATTGGTATTAGGTGGAACTCAACTCTTTAGTTAGTACAGTAGTAACTGGTATTAAGTGGAGCTCAACTCTTTAGTCAGTATAGAAGTGATTGGTATTAGGTGGAACTCAACTCTTTATTCAGGACAGTAGGGACTGGTATTAAGTGGAACTCAACTATTTAGTCAGTATAGTAGTGATTGGTATTAAATGGAACTCAACTCTTTAGTCCGTACAGTAGTAACTGGTATTAAGTGGCATTCAACTCTTTAGTCAGTATAGAAGTGATTGGTATTAGGTGGAACTCAACTAGTGGAACTCAACTCTTTAGTCCGTACAGTAGTGACTGGTATTAAGTGGAACTCAACTCTTTAGTCAGTACACTAGTGACTGGTATTAAATGGAACTCAACTCTTTAGTCCGTACAGTAGTGACTGGTATTAGGTGGAACTCAACTCTTTAGTCAGTACAGGAGTAACTGGTATGAAGTGGAACTCAACTCTTTAGTCATTACAGTAGTAACTGGTATTAAGTGGAACTCAACTCTTTAGTCAGTACAGTAGTAACTGGTATGAAGTGGAACTCAACTCTTTAGTCATTACAGTAGTAACTGGTATTAAGTGGAACTCAACTCTTTAGTCAGTATAGTTGTGATTGGTATTAGGTGGAACTCAACTCTTTAGTCAGTACAGTAGTGACTAATATTTAGTGGAACTCAACTCTTTAGTCAGTACAGTAGTGACTGGTATGAAGTGGAACTCAACTCTTTAGTCAGTATAGTAGTGATTGGTGTTAGGTGGAACTCAACTCTTTAGTCAGTACAGTAGAAACTTGTATTAAGTGGAACACATTTCTTTAGTCAGTATAGTAGTGACTGGTATTAAGAGGAATTCAACTCTTTAATCAGTACAGTAGCGACTGGTATTAAGTGGAACTCAACTCTTTAGTCATTATAGTAGTAACTGGTATTAAGTGGAACTCAACTCCTTAGTCAGTATAGTTGTGATTGGTATTAGGTGGAACTCAACTCTTTAGTCAGAACAGTAGTAACTGGTATTAAGTGGAACTCAACTCTTTAGTCAGTACAGTAGTGACTGGTATTAGGTGGAACTCAACTCTTTAGTCAGTACAGTAGTAACTTGTATTAAGTGGAACTCATTTCTTTAGTCAGTATAGTAGTGACTGGTATTAAGTGGAATTCAACTCTTTAATCAGTACAGTAGTGACTGGTATTAAGTGGACCTCAACTCTTTAATCAGTATAGTAGTGACTGGTATTAGGTGGAACTCAACTCTTTAGTCAGTGCAGTAGTAACTTGTATTAAGTGGAACTCATTTCTTTAGTCAGTATAGTAGTGACTGGTATTAAGTGGAACTCAACTCTTTAGTCAGTACACTAGTGACTGGTATTTAGTGGAACTCAACTCTTTAGTCAGTATAGTAGTGATTGGTATTTAGTGGAACTCAACTCTTTAGTCAGTACAGTAATGATTAGTATTAAGTGGAACTCAACTCTTTAGTCAGTACAGTAGTGATTGGTATTAAGTGGAACTCAATTCTTTAGTCAGTACAATAGTGACTGGTATTAAGTGGAACTCAACTCTTTAGTCAGTACAGTAGTGACTGGTATTAGGTGAAACTCAACTCTTTAGTCAGTGTGGTAGTGAACCTTATCGCTTGGAATTCATCTCATTTATTATCTTAGTTTAATAAAAAAAAAAAGTGTGCGGGTAGGAACGGTATCGATGCATTTAGTCAATACAGTTACTGTTGTGACTGGTATGAAGTGGAACTCATTTCTTTCGTCGGTGTGGTATTGATCGTTATTAATGGAATTTATCCTTTTTTTCGCTGCAGGTAATGAAGGGTATTGATTAAATAACAAGTCTTAAATCAGTACTGATGTGATTGGTTTTGACTTCAAATCATCTAAATGAGTGTGGTGCTTAACAGCTTTGATTTGTACTTTTTCCTGTGGTCAATGAGAGTAGTTATAGGTATACGAAAAAAATTGATCCGTTTAGTCAGTGAAGTATTGAACGGTAATGATAGGAACTAACCCCGTTTAGTTAGTGTGATGATAAACGGTATTAATTACAACTCACCCCGTTTAGTTAGTGTGATGTTGAACGGTATTAATTACAACTCACCCCGTTTAGTCAGTGTGATGATGAACGGTATTAATTACAACTCACTCCGTTTAGTCAGTGTAATGTTGAACGGTATAAATTACAACTCATCCCGTTTAGTCAGTGTGATGCTAAACGGTATTGATAGTAACTCACCCCGTTTAGTCAGTGTGATGTTGAACGGCACTGATTGTAACTCACCCCGTTTAGTCAGTGTAGTACTGAACGGTATGGTACACAACGTACATGTGTTGATCTCCCAGACCTCTGACTTGGCCTTCGTCACCTTTATACTTTTGCTTCTAGAGAAACAAGAGAACAACCCATCATCGATTTGCTCTACTGTTTCCTTGTCATCAGTCGGTACACGAGTCTTAGTTTCCTTGATTATTTCCACCTCCCCTGAAAGTTCACGTGGGTCGGGACAGGTACTGACGATTTCCAGGGCACGGGAACTTTCTTGATCGCCGCTCTTAAAAATTAGCTTCATATTCTCGTCGTCACTTCCTTCTTTTAAGTTGCCACGAATAACAATCTGAAACATGTGAAATCTATGGACTATTTTGTCAGTTATATATTGAAGCACTTTTATAGAATGTTAGACCGAGAGAAACAAGTACTAAACCGCTTTGGGTCGGGAAAGACAAGGGAACCGATTATTTCGTACATGTATTAGAGAAGAAACGTACTTATCTCTGTCAGTCCTTTTATGCAACTTAGAGTCATTTTTGGTATGTTATTGGACACCAGAAAGCTTTTCCTCAAGCCTCGAATAACACTAGACAACCGTTAGAAGCAAACACGTGTGACGTTTGGCTGTCCGAAAAAACCCAGACATGTTTAAATTGAAAATATAAGTAAATATCTGTGTTTATGTGGACGTTATCGTTACAATTTTAAATATCTATTAAAGTTACAGTTTAATTTAACATTATAATTACAGTTTATGTTAACATTATACTTACAGTTTATGTTAACATTATACTTACAGTTTATGTTAACAATATACTTACAGTTTATGTTAACATTATACTTACAATTTATGTTAACATTATACTTACAGTTTATGTTAACATTATACTTTACAGATTCGGTAAACATTATAAATATAGTTTATGTAAATACATGTATTGTAGCTACAGTTCAAGTAATTAGGACAGTTTCATTTTAATTAAACATTATAGTTACAGTTTATGTGAACATTATAGTTACAGTTTATGTGAACATTATAGTTTCTGTGTATGTTAACATTATAGTTTCAGTTTAAATAAATATTGTAGCTACAGTTCAAGTACAAAGAGCAGTGACAGTTTCAGTAAAATTTACAGTTACCTTTGAAGTAAACTTTATACATGTAGCTAGTTACAGTCGTAGAAATAGTATAGCTACAGTTTAAGTAATTAGGACAGTTATATTTCAAGTAAACTTTATAGTTACAGTTTCAGTGTGAATATGTTGCTCTTGTTCTCCATATGGTTCCATTCTGCAGTGTTAAGCAACACAAAGTAAGCGAAGCGATTTGTTTTGTGAGTGTGAGTGTGAGAGTGTGAGAGTGTGAGAGTGTGAGAGTGTGAGTGTGAGTGTGAGAGTGAGTGTGTGAGTGTGAGTGTGAGTGTGAGAGTGTGAGTGTGAGGGTGAGTTTGAGAGTGTGAGTGTGAGTGTGAGTGTGAGTGTGTGTGTGAGTGTGAGAGTGTGAGTGTGAGTGTGAGAGACCCTGTGTGAGTGTGAGAGTGTGAGTGTGAGTGTGAGTGTGAGTGTGTGAGTGTGAGTGTGAGTGTGTGTGTGAGTGTGAGAGTGTGAGTGTGAGTGTGAGAGTGTGAGTGTGAGTGTGAGTTTGAGAGTGTGAGTGTGAGTGTGAGAGTGAGTGTGTGAGTGAGAGTGTGAGTGTGAGTGTGAGAGTGAGTGTGTGAGTGTGAGTGTGAGTGTGTGTGTGTGTGAGAGTGTGTGTGAGTGTGAGTGTGAGTGTGTGAGTGTGAGTGTGAGTGTGAGAGTGTAAGTGTGAGTGTGAGTGTGAGAGTGTGAGTGTGAGAGTGTGAGTGTGAGTGTGAGTGTGCGTGTGAGATAGGTTAATGAAATGCATTGTTAATGTATCCACGGAAATCGATAAATTTCAGTTGAACGAAATTTGACTAGTGGCGTTGCCTGAATTTGTCCTCTCTCTAAAATCTCCGTCCTTCAGGTACCTTCTGAAGATACACTGAATCACGTTTAGCTGTTACTAGATTTCTGACCAAAACGTCAACCCCTTGAGATATCCTGTACAAGTAAAGCAGGGTCGTATGTACCTGTTAATCATTTACTTACCTGAAATGTCTGTCCCTCTGGAACATTTTTAAGATTGTCGTCTGATCCCACATTGAACCATGTGTAGTTGCTATCATATTTTTTCTTCACTAGTTTTGTTTTACGCTTTGTTCCACATGTTATGATCATATCCGTTTTACTTTCGTCCATTTCCGGAGTTTTCAAAGCGACTAAGAACTCAACTCTGCGCATCTTAAGAAAGGTATTTCTTACAGTATCCTTTACGCCTTCAGGATTGGCATCAAGTTTAGGCTTTGAAGTCCCGGAAAATCTGGAATTATGCCATAACCGGTAGGTTACAATAGACCAATTTTTATTCATGGCCGGAAGGGCCACTGTTAACGTATAGAACGCTATTTAAGTGTTTTGGGATCAGAACATCTTTAAACATTGGGTTACATCCTGAGAGGCAAGAACAACTTTCTATACCATTAGCATGATGGGTGTTACATACATTAAGGGCATTGGTAAGGTCTAAATAAAATGTGTGCAGTCTTAACGTTGTAAAACTGAAGTACAATTGGAAACAATGGCAAAACAATATTTGAAATCCAATTACTTGTTCTTCAAAACTGTAATAGAGACACATTACAACAGTATGTCCAAAAACACTAACTCAAGTAACTACAAGAAAAGTAAAACAAACAAATACATAACAACAAATATAACCGTTTCCAACAAAATGCACACAAGCAAGGATAACGACGAAATGGCAAGAAACGCATAGAGAACAACTGAGAAAGGACCAACTTGTCTGGTTTCGGTAATGTCAGTGTCCGACTACTCGTGTGTACCTTGTCCTTATATCTGTGGATATTGGTAATATCTAAATAAAACATTAAAGTAAAAATGAGTTTCCTAAATCTTCAATTTCCTATATACGTATACCTTCTAGCCCATACGAAAATGTTTGCATTTGAATGACTCAACACTACAAGATTTCTATTTACCGGAAACTCACATAGAAAAGTGGTTGATTGTAAACACAGCCTTGCCAGCGCCATCAATTTCCGCTGGAATTTCATCCCAATCCCACTGCTCCAGGTTTGGGTCGGGATTTGATGTCGTCAGCACAACGACGGCTTCCGACTTGTCCGCGACAGTTACCGGCATCTTCATTTGTATGTCATGTTTGGGCATTTGGCCGTCAGTGGTGGAAAGGTCAAGGATACTTGTCATTAGAACGGGTTCACCCTTGGGCTTGCTCTGATCCTTTTTATCCTGGTCGTCAGCTTCATCAGGACCATCTGTTGGGACCACGAACTGGAACATGTTAATTAGAGATTAATAAAACTAAATGATGAACCTAACACACATACATGGTACTGTAAAATAATAAATAATAGATTCACGTACAGCATGCCAAAATGAATACGCTGCACAACATTGGTCTTAGCTATTGACGAAACAGAATGGAGGTGCGTTACGTCCATCTTTCATAAAGACTATGCAATCATACAGGTGATAATATAATTTTGAAACACATGCATCGTTTTGTTGTGTTGGTGAACATGGTGTGAAAACTGAAACGTCCGTGCTTTCTCATATTAAACAAACTACACACAACAATGTCAACAAATAGTGACCATGTCGATTTTAGTTATGTTGAACGGAAGAGGCAACACTCCTTAACTTAAATGGAACATACTTTGATTGAGAGTTCGCCAGAGTCAAACGTGCCGGCGGGAATATCGATTTCCGCTTCCGGTTCACTTTCCGGTTTCAGTACGACTGCCTCTTCGGAGATCTTAAAAACTTGTTTCTTCTCCCTGCTTGCCATGGTGAAATACGTGATTCCAGTGGGTACCAGAGGGACAGTTATTGTAACCTTTGTGATCTAGTAATTATAAGGTAATATGTCAGAATAATTTCTATGCAGACTATACAGATAATGTCTGTGAGAAAGTCAGTCAGTATAGCTCTAACCCTATCGTGCACCTATTATGTGATATCACTATAACACCACACAATTTTCGGCGAATTACAAAACCTATGCAACGTCACAAGGAGCAGTGATATAACACTATTTACACGACTTTTCTGGTAAAACGTGAACACATAAAGAGAAAACAAAGACTACGAGATCAATTTGAGATAACTAGAGGGGGCAAAAATACCCGATGGAATGTATTCTTTAAATGTTTGTTAAACATGTGTATGCCCATAGCTTTCTCGCGTTTTGAATGGACACAACTCTAACTCATACCCCTGTGAGAGAAGCAAAACATACAGGTCCTATACATTTACCTACATTTATTATTCATGTGTAACCAAACCCACGATGTATGAACAAATAAAAATGTATCACTGTTTTAATTTCTTGGGAGGGAATTATCTAAACAAAATATCTAACCAAATTGGAAAGGCCGATCGACGGAGAAGGCACACACTTAATAATTACATGTACCACCCCTTTACTATGTTTAGGGGCTCATGGACATAACTTATTCATACTCGCTCCCGTTTCATCAGATTTTTATCAAACTTTCTACAGCGTAAAGATTTTGCTTTATGTGACTAGTTTGCGATTATCTTCATACAAAATTAAAAACAAATCTTACCCCGACATTTTCATCTTCTTGCATCTCGACACCACCCGATGTTATTGCTGGTCGTAGAACAATCTCCTCGTTTTGCCGGAGAACCCGATCCACTGTAACTATCAGGGTGATGGTTTGGACCCGAGGCCCCCAGGTCTGACATTCTAGTAGGTGACCGAACGTTTCCTCATCTGGTCCCAGGGTAGGTGGGCTGCCGTACGCTTCCTCTGTCTGACACAGATACAGGTAGTAAGGTTCCTGACCTTCCACAACCTTAACCTCGACACCTGTCTGCTCTAGGTGTAGTATTGGCCCCTCCTCAGGAGTGACCCTTGCCACGTCAAATATGATCCCTCTATAATTAATCAATTGATAATTAGGGGTTTACATAATTTGACAATTTATATATTTGTCGCATCTGATAGGATCTCTTCTCATCATTCTTTGTGAATGACGCACCGTGTGCTTTGGATATGGTCGCAAACAATACAAGCAAAGGAAGTGTGTACAGATTGGCTCTGACTATTTACACACAGCTTCTGTTCAATAGCAAAACACTGCTCATATTATGTATTAAAGTCATAGCATGTTCAGCTAATCACGGCCTAACTTTTACCTGTTCAGCCTATTACTACCTAACTATTGCATGTTCAGCCAATCACGGCCTAACTATTACATGTTCAGCCTATTACTACCTAACTATTGCATGTTCAGCCAATCACGGCCTTACTATTACATGTTCAGTCTTTTACTACCTAACTAAGATATGTTCAGCTAATCACTGCCTAACTATTACATGATCAGCCAATCAATGTCTAACTATTACATATTCAGCAAATCACTGTATAACTATTACATGTTAAGCTAATCACTGCCTAACTATTACATATTCAGCCAATCACTGCCTAACTATTACATGTTCAGCTAATCACTGTATAACTATTACATATTCAGCAAATCACTGCCTAACTATTACAGGTTCAGCCAATCCCTGCCTAACTATTTCAAGTTCAGCTAATCACTGTATAACTACTACATGTTCAGCCAATCACTGCCTAACTATTACATGTTCAGCCAATCACTGCCTAACTATTACATGTTCAGCTAATCACTGTATAACTATTACATGTTCAGCCAATCACTGCCTAACTATTACAAGTTAAGCAAATCACTGCCTAACTATTACATATTCAGCAAATAACTGTATAACTATTACATGTTCAGCCAATCACTGCCTAACTATTTCATGTTAAGCCAAACACTGCCTAACTATTACAAGTTAAGCAAATCACTGCCTAGCTATTACATATTCAGCAAATCACTGTATAACTATTACATATTCAGCAAATCACTGCCTACCTATTACAAGTTAAGCAAATCACTGCCTAGCTATTACATATTCAGCAAATCACTGTATAACTATGACATTTTCAGCTAATCATTGCCTAACTATTACATGATCAGCCAATCAATGTCTAACTATTACATATTCAGCCAATCACTGCCGAACTATTTCATGTTCAGCAAATCACTGCCTACCTATTTCATGTTAAGCCAAACACTGCCTAACTATTACAAGTTAAGCCAATCACGGCCTAACTATTACATGTTCAGCTAATCACTGCCTAACTATTTCATGTTCAGCCAAGCACTGCCTAACTATAACATGTTCAGCTAATCACGGTCTAACTATTACATGTTTAGCTAATCACTGTCTAACTATGACATGTTCAGCTAATCACTGTATAACTATGACATGTTCAGCTAATCATTGCCTAACTATTACATGTTCAGCCAATCACTGCCTAACTATTACATGTTAAGCCAATCACTGCCTAACTATTACATGTTCAGCCAATCACTGCCTAACTATTACATGTTCAGCTTATTACTACCTAACTATTGCATGTTCAGCCAATCACGGCCTAACTGTTACATATTCAGCCTATTACTACCTAACTATTGCATATTCAGCCAATCACGGCCTAACTATAACATGTTCAGCCTATTACTACCTAACTATTTCATGTTAAGCCAATCACTGTCTAACTTTAACATGTTCAGCCAATCACGGCCTAACTATTACATGTTCAGCCTATCACTACCTAACTATTTCATGTAAAGCCAATCACTGTCTAACTATGACATGTTCAGCTAATCACTGTCTAACTATTACATCTTAAGCAAATCACTGTCTAACTATGACATGTTCAGCCAATCACTGCCTAACTATTACATGTTTAGCCAATCACTGCCTATCTATTCCATGTTCAGCCAATCACTGCCTAACTACTACATGTTAAGCAAATCACTGCCTAACTATTTCATGTTAAGCCAATCACTGCCTAACTATTACATGTAAAGCTAATCACTGTCTAACTATGACATGTTCAGCTAATCACTGCCTAACTATGACATGTTCAGCCAATCACTGTCTAACTATAACATGTTCAGCCAATCACTGTCTAACTATAACATGTTCAGCTAATCACTCTCTAACTATTACATGTTAAGCAAATCACTGTCTAACTATGACATGTTCAGCCAATCACGGCCTAACTATTACATGTTCAGCCAATCACTGCCTAACTATTACATGTAAAGCTAATCACTGTCTAACTATGACATGTTAAGCCAATCACTGTATAACTATGACATGTTCAGCTAATCACGGCCTAACTTTTACCTGTTCAGCCTATTACTACCTAACTATTGCATGTTCAGCCAATCACCTATAACATGTTCAGCCAATTACTGTATAACTATATCATGTTCAGCCAATACCTGTCTAACTATAACATGTTTAGCCAATCACTGCCTAAATAGTACATGTTCAGCCAATCACTGCGTAACTATTACAAGTTAAGTCAATCACTGCCTAACTATTGCAGGTTAAGCCAATCACTGCCTGACTATTACATGTTCAGCTAATCACTGCGTAACTATTACATGTTCAGCAAATCACTGTATAACTATAACATGTTCAGCTAATCACGGCCTACCTATAACATGTCCAGCCAATCACTGCCTATCTATTACATGTTAAGCCCATCACTGCCTAACTATTGCAGGTTAAGCCAATCACTGCCTGACTATTACATGTTCAGCAAATCACTGTATAACTATATCATGTTCAGCCAATCCCTGTCTAACTATAACATGTTTAGCCAATCACTGCCTAACTGTTACATGTTAAGCAAATCACTGCCTAACTATTGCAGGTTAAGCCAATCACTGCCTGACTATTACATGTAAAGCTATCACTGTCTAACTATGACATGTTAAGCTAATCACTGCCTAACTATGACATGTTCAGGTTCAGCCAATCACTGCCCAACTCTTTCATGTTCAGCCAAGCACTGCCTACCTATGACATGTTCAGCCAATCACCTATAACATGTTCAGCCAATCCCTGTCTAACTATAACATATTCAGCCAATCACTGTATAACTACTTATTACTACCTAACTATTGCATATTCAGCCAATCACTGTATAACTAGGACATGTTCAGCTAATCTCTGCCTAACTATTACATGTAAAGCTATCACTGTCTAACTATGACATGTTCAGCCAATCACCTATAACATGTTCAGCCAATCACTGCCTAACTATTACATGTTCAGCCAATCACTGCCTTACTGTTACATGGTCAGCCAAGCACTGTCTAACTATTTCATGTTCAGCTAATCACTGCCTACCTATAACATGTTCAGCCAATCACTGTCTAACTATAACATGTTCAGCCAATCACTGTATAACTATATCATGTTCAGCCAATCCCTGTCTAACTATAACATGTTCAGTCAATCACTGTATAACTATAACATGTTCAGCCAATCACTGCCTAACTATAACATGTTCAGCTAATCACTGTCTAACTATAACATGTTCAGCTAATCACTGTCTAACTATTACATGTTAAGCAAATCACTGTCTAACTATGACATGTTCAGCCAATCACGGCCTAACTATTACATGTTAAGCCAATCACTGCCTAACTATTACATGCAAAGCTAATCACTGTCTAACTATGACATGTTAAGCTAATCACTGTATAACTATGACATGTTCAGCTAATCACTGCCTAAATAGTACATGTTCAGCCAATCACTGCCTAACTAATACATGTTAAGCCAATCACTGTCTAACTATTACGTGTAAAGCTAATCGCTGTCTAACTATGAAATGTTCAGCTAATCACCGTATAACTATGACATGTTCAGCTAATCACTGCCTAACTATTACATGTTAAGCAAATCACGGCCTAACTAATACATGTTAAGCCAATCACTGTCTAACTATTACATGTAAAGCTAATCGCTGTCTAACTATGAAATGTTCAGCTAATCACCGTATAACTATGACATGTTCAGCTAATCACTGCCTAACTATTACATGTTGTTAAGCCAATCACTGCCTAACTATTACATGTTCAGCTAATCACTGCGTAACTATTACAAGTTAAGCCAATCACTGCCTAACTATTTCATGTTCAGCCAAGCACTGCCTAACTATGACATGTTTAGCCAATCACTGCCTAAATAGTACATGTTCAGCCAATCACTGCCCAACTATTTCATGTTCAGCTAATCACCGCGTAACTATTACATGTTCAGCCAATGACTGCCTAACTATTACATTTTAAGCCAATCACTGCCTAACTATTACATGTTCAGCCAATCACTGTCTAACTATAACATTTCAGCCAATCACTGTCTAACTATAACATGTTCATTCAATCACTGTCTATCTATAACATGTTCAGCCAATCACTGCCCAACTATTTCATGTTAAGCCAATCACTGCCTAACTATTACATGCTCAGCCAATCACTGCCTAACTATTACAAGTTAAGCCAATCACTGCCTAACTATTACATGTTCAGCTAATCACTGCCTAACTATTACATGTTCAGCCAATCACTGTCTAACTATAACATGTTCATTCAATCACTGTCTATCTATAACATGTTCAGCCAATCACTGCCTAACTATTTCATGTTCAGCCAAGCACTGCCTAACTATGACATGTTTAGCCAATCACTGCCTAAATAGTACATGTTCAGCCAATCACTGCCCAACTATTTCATGTTAAGCCAATCACTGCCTAACTATTACATGGTCAGCCAATCACTGCCTTACTATCACATGGTCAGCCAAGCACTGCCTAACTATTTCATGTTCAGTTTATCACTGCCTAACTATAACATGTTCAGCCAATCACTGCCTAACTATAACATGATCAGCCAATCACTGTCTAACTATAACATGTTCAGCTTATCACTGCCTAACTATAACATGTTCAGCCAATCACTGCCCAACTATTACATGTTAAGCCAATCACTGCCTAACTA